TTGATTAGTAATATGCTTTGCTAAGAACTTCATTTGGACAACTTTAAAGATGATTTTCTCAATATTTAGATTTTTTTGCACCCTCAGATTCCAGATTTTCAAATAGTTGTATCTCGACCAAATATTTTCCTATCCTAACAAACCATACATCAATGGAAAGCTTATTTATTCAGCTTTCAGATGATGCATACATCTCAATTTTGAAAAATTGACCCTTATGACTGGTTTTGTGCTCCAGGGTCACATACAGTAGTCAAGACAAGAGCGGGTATTGTTTTGGTTTGCTTTTAGGACAACTTCAAATGTTGACTACTGTATATATATATATATTTGTGTGTGTATATACTAAATTCATATACAAATGCTATATTCATACATTTCATATATATGAAAATTTGTATCTAATCTATAAAATTATTTAAAGCACAAATAAATAAAATAAAAAATATAAAACATAACATTCCATATAATATATAAAAGTATAAATAACAATCTAAAATATATAAATAGTAAATATTTAAAAATAAATAAAATACATATAATATATATAAAATTATTATGTAAAAAATAATAATCTGTGTATATGAAAAAGTGTATCTATAAAATCACAGAAAATATAAATATATAAAATATTCCATATATTATCTGACTGAAATGTATATAAATATAAAAAAGAACAATCTAAATATATAAATGTAAATATTTACAAATCTACATAAAATTTCTATAAAATACAAATATATAAAACAGTCTAAAATATAATACAATAATATAAATATTTAAATATATAAAATTACACAGTGTAAAATACATAGTATATAAATATATAAAAATTTATAAAATATAAAAACTATAAATATATATGCACACTAATAAAAATATAAACGACATGAAAAATGTTTATAAAAGACACTGTACAAAAAAATATAATATATATATGAATATTAAATACATAAAAAAACATGGTTCTCCTGTTTTTAAAAAGGAACACTGTTCCCGAGTAACGTTAGAGACGCAGCGGAGGTTAGCTCACCGTCGGCGGGCTGCTGGAAGTTGACGTAGGCGTAACCGAGCGAGCGGCGGGTCATCATGTCCCTGCAGACCCGGATGGAGAGGATGGGCCCGGCTGGACTGAACTTCTCGTACAGCATGGCCTCGGTCACGTCCGAGTGCAGATCCCCCACATACAGAGAAGCCATCGGGTAACTGGGCGCGCTGGGGTTCATCTTCACACAGCAGAGCGCAGAGCTGGAGACGCGGACCTGATTGAACACACGCGGACACGACCGAAACTGCTCGGTTTCCTCCTCGAAGACGGTCACACGGTAAAATACGCACTTAAAGACGAATTAAAACGCGTTCGGTACCGGTTTGGCGTCGATGTTTCGCGGTTCAGATCAACACAAGCTGATTAAAATCTCCTCAGGCCTACTGCGGTGCTGCTCTGCGATCAAACTCCTCAAATCTGCCGCGGATCCTGCTTCACCGAGGTCTTCGGCGATAAAAGTAGATTTTTTGTTTGTATTTTTTTCAGTTTTGTGATTTTTTTTTTTTGTATTTTTAGTTTTTTATATAAGATGTGTGCCGAGGCTCTGAGGCACACGCGTTCTCTCTCGCACCGCACAAGTTAGGGGAAGAGAAGCGGAAGTGCGTCTCAGATAAGAAGGCGTCCTCGCCGGATGTTGCGTGGGGTTCCTTTATATTCTTACGTAAGAGCAGAATAAGAGTCCGTGCAATTATAGAATAAGAGTGGCGCGAATGACGCAGAAAATAAAGGAGAACGTCAAGGTCATGGGTCGGTTTTCCAGGGACAAAAATAGTCTGCTAAATGCATTAAATGTCATATCAATTTAATCCAAGATCGGTTAAACAGGTTAAACATGACTACGTCATGCGTGAAGTCCAGCTAGTGCACGACGAGCATTTGTTGTTAAAAAGTATATACTTTTTTTAATTTATTTATTTATTTCTCTAGATAAGAGCCTTATTCCTGGCTGGTATCGTGTAGAGCTCTTTGAAGCTGCACTGAAAAAAAAACCTGGAATGTTTTCCTCAAAAACCTTCATTTCTTTGCGACTGAAAAAAAGAAAGACTTAAACATTTTGGATGACATGGGTGTGAGTAAATTACCAGAAACTTTTATTCTGGAAGTGAACTAATCCTTTCATATGGAAGGCCGTTTCTGCCACGGGATAAAAAAATTAAAAGGGTATTTGCGATGGGTTTTTTTTTTAATTCTAAAATTTACATAAATATTTTTTATTTTAATTAATACATTTTATGAAATTTTTTACTTTCTAAAATTAATTTTCTCGCAATTATGAGTTATTATAATTATAAATGTGAGATATAAACTCAGAATTTAGAAATATACACCCCAAATCTGAGAGAGCAAAAACAGAATTTCTAGATATATACTCAGAATTTTAACTTTTTTCCTCAGAATTGTGAAAAAAAATAGAATTGTGAGATTATTCCCCCCCCCCAATTTACATGTGTTTATCTACTTTTATTTTAATAAAAATACAGCTCTCTTGTCATCCAAGTACACACACAGTACACTCTCAATAAATGTTTGTGTTGTTTGTTATTGTTATATTGTATATTTCTTTTTCTTGTCATTACTTGTTTTGTGTGTAGTGTGCTTTGGGAATATTGTTTGTAAACACAATAATGCTAATAAAGTACTTTAGATTAAATGAAATGACACTAATCATGCTTGGATTTGGTGATAATAGCTTTTTATTGCACAGGTTACATCCGCCTCCACTCAACTTTAACTCTAATGTAGAAAATGAAGTGTGGCATTGTGATTAAAAAATAAATAGAAATGCCTTGCAAAAAGCAAACCAGAAAAAACATACATATTTGGTTTATTTATGGAGAACGATCTTTTTAATAGACATTGAATTATTAAATGAATTTAAATGGAATTTTTCACATATATTAATGTTTATAATGATTGAATCTGTGTCTCAGACGGCTGGAATAACAGGGCTGCTGAACTGCTGATGAGACTGAAGAAAAGCAAGCGCTTCGTTCACCTGAACACACACACACAGACACAGACACAGACACAGACACAGACACAGACACAGACACAGACACAGACACAGACACAGACACAGACACAGACACAGACACAGACACAGACACAGACACAGACACAGACACAGACACAGACACAGACACAGACACAGACACAGACACAGACACAGACACAGACACAGACACAGACACAGACACAGACACAGACACAGACACAGACACAGACACAGACACAGACACAGACACAGACACAGACACAGACACAGACACAGACACAGACACAGACACAGACACAGACACAGACACAGACACAGACACAGACACAGACACAGACACAGACACAGACACAGACACAGACACAGACACAGACACAGACACAGACACAGACACAGACACAGACACAGACACAGACACAGACACAGACACAGACACAGACACAGACACAGACACAGACACAGACACAGACACAGACACAGACACAGACACAGACACAGACACAGACACAGACACAGACACAGACACAGACACAGACACAGACACAGACACAGACACAGACACAGACACAGACACAGACACAGACACAGACACAGACACAGACACAGACACAGACACAGACACAGACACAGACACAGACACAGACACAGACACAGACACAGACACAGACACAGACACAGACACAGACACAGACACAGACACAGACACAGACACAGACACAGACACAGACACAGACACAGACACAGACACAGACACAGACACAGACACAGACACAGACACAGACACAGACACAGACACAGACACAGACACAGACACAGACACAGACACAGACACAGACACAGACACAGACACAGACACAGACACAGACACAGACACAGACACAGACACAGACACAGACACAGACACAGACACAGACACAGACACAGACACAGACACAGACACAGACACAGACACAGACACAGACACAGACACAGACACAGACACAGACACAGACACAGACACAGACACAGACACAGACACAGACACAGACACAGACACAGACACAGACACAGACACAGACACAGACACAGACACAGACACAGACACAGACACAGACACAGACACAGACACAGACACAGACACAGACACAGACACAGACACAGACACAGACACAGACACAGACACAGACACAGACACAGACACAGACACAGACACAGACACAGACACAGACACAGACACAGACACAGACACAGACACAGACACAGACACAGACACAGACACAGACACAGACACAGACACAGACACAGACACAGACACAGACACAGACACAGACACAGACACAGACACAGACACAGACACAGACACAGACACAGACACAGACACAGACACAGACACAGACACAGACACAGACACAGACACAGACACAGACACAGACACAGACACAGACACAGACACAGACACAGACACAGACACAGACACAGACACAGACACAGACACAGACACAGACACAGACACAGACACAGACACAGACACAGACACAGACACAGACACAGACACAGACACAGACACAGACACAGACACAGACACAGACACAGACACAGACACAGACACAGACACAGACACAGACACAGACACAGACACAGACACAGACACAGACACAGACACAGACACAGACACAGACACAGACACAGACACAGACACAGACACAGACACAGACACAGACACAGACACAGACACAGACACAGACACAGACACAGACACAGACACAGACACAGACACAGACACAGACACAGACACAGACACAGACACAGACACAGACACAGACACAGACACAGACACAGACACAGACACAGACACAGACACAGACACAGACACAGACACAGACACAGACACAGACACAGACACAGACACAGACACAGACACAGACACAGACACAGACACAGACACAGACACAGACACAGACACAGACACAGACACAGACACAGACACAGACACAGACACAGACACAGACACAGACACAGACACAGACACAGACACAGACACAGACACAGACACAGACACAGACACAGACACAGACACAGACACAGACACAGACACAGACACAGACACAGACACAGACACAGACACAGACACAGACACAGACACAGACACAGACACAGACACAGACACAGACACAGACACAGACACAGACACAGACACAGACACAGACACAGACACAGACACAGACACAGACACAGACACAGACACAGACACAGACACAGACACAGACACAGACACAGACACAGACACAGACACAGACACAGACACAGACACAGACACAGACACAGACACAGACACAGACACAGACACAGACACAGACACAGACACAGACACAGACACAGACACAGACACAGACACAGACACAGACACAGACACAGACACAGACACAGACACAGACACAGACACAGACACAGACACAGACACAGACACAGACACAGACACAGACACAGACACAGACACAGACACAGACACAGACACAGACACAGACACAGACACAGACACAGACACAGACACAGACACAGACACAGACACAGACACAGACACAGACACAGACACAGACACAGACACAGACACAGACACAGACACAGACACACACACAGACAGACAGACAGACACACACACTTCAGAAACAAATCAGACATTAAAACAGCCAAAGCCGAGGCAGCGGGAACGGACCTTCATGCACAGAGACTGATGGCATTGCAGAAGCTGCAGCAGCTCAGACTCATCCGTTTCCAGCAGCATCTCCGTGATCTGATTCGCCAGCGGCCCGACCGCGTCTTGCACCAGCGGGAAGAGACTGAGACCTGCGGGACAAAACTACATCAGACCAGAGTTTGAAAACATAAACAGGACACAATAACACGGGAGCAAACTTGCCCAGCATCTGCTTCTGGTTGTCTGCTGAGCTCAGAGTCTCCTGCACCTGAACCAGAGCGAGAAACCACAGATATATAACGACTATTACACAGTGCACACAAACACAAAAATCCACAATAATGCACCTGTTGAACAGCCCACTGCTGCTGCGGGTCGCTTGTGAACTCGTGGTGATGGTGAACTTCAGGAGTGTAGATGTGCTGCGGTGCACAACGAGGCAGATTCACTGGGACGACAAAACAAAACACCAGAAGCTCTAGATGACACACCGAAGCCGTTTAACATCTTTTATGAAGTATTTTAATTTCACATTTGATTATATAATTGATTTTTAGTATGTTTTATTTTGATTTAGTATTTGATTTCACATTTTTATGATTAAATTAATTTTAGTGTTTTATTTTGACTTTTTATTATTTAGCTCATGTCTTATTATTTAATTTTAAAAAGTGCTGTATTTTTACTTATTTATTTTTATTGCACATTTTTTGTGTTTTACTTAATTTTAGTACTTGTTTTGTTATTGCTTTATTTTTATTTTTAAATTATTTAATGATTTAATTTCAGTATGTTTTGTTTTGACTCTTCATTTTTAAATTAAAGATTTAAATTTGACATTTTAGTGTTTTAATTCATTTTAGTATGCGTTTTATTTTGCGTTTTTATTTTAAAATGATTAATTAAAATTTTATGATTGTTATGATTTAATACATTTTAGTGTTTTATTTTCATTGTTTTACTTAAAAACTATTAATTTTAATTTTGTATTTCTATGTTTTAGTGTTTAGTAAGTGTTTTATTTCAATTTTTTTATTTAAAAACGTTTTATTTACTTTAAGTGTTTTATTTTGACAGTTTTTATTTTAAAATTGTTTGTTATATTTTTTATTAATTCATTTTAATAAGTGTTTTATTTTAAAATTATTTATTTATTCTTTTTTTATGATTTCATTAATTTTAGAAAGTGTTTTATTTTGGTTCATCTTTGATATGGATTTGTTTGGTTACCTTGACTAGATAGAAAGTAGAAAGCTCTTGGTTTTCATTAAAAACATCCTCATTTGTGTTTCGAAGATGAACCAAAGTCTTATGTGTTTAAGAAGGTCTGCTCACCCCGAGGGCTGACGCTCTGTGCGTCCCATTGAGAGCTGGGCTGAGGTTGTGTGAGGTGGTATGAAGAGAGATCCTGCACCTGTGAAATAACAACAGAGCTCGTCACGTGTGTGTCTCTGTCAGTCTGTGGATGATCAGAGGACGTGATGTGAATCTGGACCTGCTCAGCGTGTGGTTTGGGCCGGTAGGCCTCCAGCTGCTGGCGTCTCATCATGTGTTGGTGGATGAGCAGAGTCTGACGCTCCTTCTTCTTCTGGGCCAGAGCCACGTATATGGGCTTGGAATCAATGATACGGCAGTTCATCTCAGTGATGGCTCTGGTGGCCTCTTCGGGAGACGAGAAGCAAACGAATCCGAAGCCTCGGCTGCGGCCGCCGTCTGTCATCACCTGAACAGAACACACACTCCTGGATCTTCACGTTCACTGGGTTACAATTAAATAACGACACAACTATTCCTTTATGTATCGCAGATCGATTGCTACCTTAGCGCTGGTGATGTTCCCGTATGGAGAGAACTCTCTGAGCAGCCGTTCGCTGTCCACGCTGTCGCTCAGATTCTTCACGTACAGATTCACGCCCTGTTCATCAAAACACGTACACTAGAGCGATTACTGTAACGACAACTACAAAGATAACTATAACAGCAACTACAACGAGAACTTTCAGCATGACTATAGTGGTAACTATAACAATATAACTCAAACAAAAAATAACAACTATAATAGTTACTATAACGATAACTGTAATGATAACTATAACAATATAACTCAAACAAAAAATAATAACTATAATAGTTACTATAACTATGTTACGTTACGATACTGTTACGATAACAACAACTATAACGATAACTGTAATGATAACTATAACAATAACTTTAGCAATAAATATAACAATAACTATAATTATAACTATAACAATAGTGATGACTGTAATAATAACTATAACAACTTCAGCGATAATAATAACTGTAATGATAACTTTAAGAACTAAAACTAATACGATAACAATAACCATAACGATAACTATAACATTAACGATAATTATAACGATAACTATAACAATAACTAAAATAACGATAACTTCAGCGATAAATATCAATAGCGCTAACTATAACAATAACCATAACGATAACTATAACAATAATGATAATTATAACAATAACTATAACAATAACTAAATTAATGATAACTTCAGCGATAACTAACAATAGCGCTAACTATAAAAATAACCATAACGATAACTATAACATTAACGATAATTATAACGATAACTATAATGATAACTAAAATAAGTTAACAATAACTTCAGCGATAACTAACAATAGCGCTAACTATAACAATAACCATAACGATAACTATAACAATAACTTCCTATCACTTAAGCAATCACAATAACTATAACTTAAGCAATAACTATAACAATATCTTTTGCAATAAATATAATAAAACCTATAATGATAACTACAATGATAGCAATAACTGACAACTTCAGCGATAACCAAAACTGTAATGATAACTAGAACAACAACTATAACTAATATGATAACGAACAATACCATAACAATAACTTCAGCAATAACTATAACAATAACTTTAATAATAACTTCAATAATAACCATAACAATAGCACTATAATAAACTATAAACCTAAATAACCATAAAGATAGCTATAACAATTACTTACTATAACAACAATGATAACTATAATAATAACTAATAATACATTTAGCAATAAATTTAACAATAACTATGATGATAACTAACAATAACTTTTGCGATAAATATAACAATAACTATAATGATAACTATAACTTCAGCGATAGCTATAAAGCTAACAATAACCATAACTTTAGCGATAACAATAACAACTATAACTATAATGATAACTAACAACTTTTGCAATAAATATAACAACTACTATAACAGCAGCATTAACCATAACAATAGCGATAACAATAACTTTAGCGATATATAACGATAACAATAACTTTAGCGATATATAACAATAACCATAACTTTAGCGATATATAACAATAACCATAACTTTAGCGATAACAATAACAACAACGATAACTATAATAAAAACTAACAATAACTTTTGCGATAAATATAACAATAACTATGATAATAACTAACAATAACATTTGCGATAAATATAACAATAACTATAATGATAACTATAACTGTATACTATAACATGTTGAATATGTGCTTTATAAGTACTAATAAACAGCAAATATGTTAATAATAGGCATGCTAATAAGCAACTAGTTAATAGTGAGAATTGGTCCCTACACTAAAGTGTTACCACAATAACTATAATGATAACTATAGCAGACGATAACGGTCTGTTTCTGCAGTTTTGTCGTCTGCCGCTGAAATGTTTGAGCTCTTTGAAGCAGGATGGATTCTGATTCGCTGTCAATGTTTGTATCATTCATCAGCCAGAAAAAAATCGTTGTGAAAGTGATTCCAATTATATCGTTTTCTGTGTCGTTATGGTTATATTTTTGCTACGAACTCTCCTGTTCTCGTAGAATGAGAATGAGTATTAAAGCTTTATAGTTATTGTTAATAGTTATGCTTTATAGTTATTTCGCAGGTGAAATCCAGTGCTAGTAACATGCTAATCATGCTAGAAACATGCTAGTAATTTGCTAATCATGCTAACACCATGCTAATAACATATTAATAATGTTAGAAACATGCTAGTAACTTGTTAATCATGCTAACAAAATGCTAACACCATGCTAGTAACATGCTAATCATGCTAGAATCAAGCTAGCAACATATTAGTAACTTGCTAATTATGCTAACAACATGCTAGTAACATGCTAATCATACTAGAAACATGCTAGTAACTTGCTAATCATGCTAGCAAAATGCTAACCATGTTAGAAACATGCTAGTAAAATGCTAATTGTGCTAGCAACATGCTAATCATGCTAGAAACAAGCTAATCATGCTAGCAACATGCTAGTAATCATGCTAAAAACATGTTAGCAACATGCTAGCCATGCTAGAAACAGCCTAGCAACCACCCCAGGTACCCTAGCAATATGTTTTATACCTATCTGTTTTTCTGATAGACTGTATTGCCTTGAAAACATTCAAATTTAATCTTTAAAACTATAACTTTCAAACTACTTTCAGACTGCAAGCTTTTAAAACTTTTTCGAACTTTCTAGCTAGGCTTTTTCAAGCCAACTTAGAGTTTGTCTACAAACTTTTCAATCTAGTTATACTTTATAGTTATTTTCGCAGGTGAAATCCAGTCATTTCAGCAGCATTCTATGCATTTGGGAATTTCGCATGAGGGCGAAAGATTTCCAAATGCAGATTTCGCATCGGGTTCAGTTTGGCACACGAATTCGCTTGGTTTGAAAGTGCCTTCTGTTACGACACTATTGACACTGGACTTTCCCCAAGTGAAAGCTCACTCATCTGACCTCACCTTTGTAGTTCTGCTGATTGCAGTGCATGACCTTTAGTCTGTGTGATAAACGCAGAGTCTCTGATACCTGATAGCGCATCATGCGCTCCTGCCTGATCTGCTCGAAGCGCCGCTTCAGCTCCACCTGACGCTCTCGTCTCTTCTGAGCGCGACCCACGAACACCCGCCTGCCGTTCAGCTCCGTCCGGTTCAGCTCCTCCACCGCCTGCGGGTTACAGCACACAAGTCTTACGTCAGTCATGTTTGTGGTGCTATAATTTATTTTTAATGATCCTTTTCACTCTCTCTCTCTTCAGTCCACACTAAAAATTCCAACAAGAAATGAGCACTGAGCTTTAAACTAGTGTCAGGGCTACGCTGATAAGATGATGAAGGTATTTTCTAAACTCTTTAAACCAACACACCGGTAAATCCAACAAGGGTAAGCCAACAACCAGGGTAGCACACACAACATTAAAGGGACAGAAATGTCCTGGCTCTTCCAAGCTTTATAATGGCAGTGAATGGGTGTTATTTTTCAATAGTCCAAAAGAAGTCCAATAAAGCGCATCCATCCATCATAAAAAAGTGCCTCACACGGCTCCGGGGGGTGAATAAAGGCCTCCTGAAGTGAATCAATGCGATTTTGTAAGAAAAATATACAACTATAACAATAATTATAAAATATACAACTATAACAATAACGATAATTATAACGATAACTATAACAATAACTAAAATAACGATAACTTCAGCGATAACTAACAATAGCGCTAACTATAATAATAACCATAACGATAACTATAACAATAACTTCCTATCACTTAAGCAATCACAATAACTATAACTTAAGCAATAACTATAACAATATATTTTGCAATAAATATAATAAAACCTATAATGATAACAACAATGATAGCAATAACTGACAACTTCAGCGATAACCAAAACTGTAATGATAACTATAACAACAACTATAACTAATATGATAACGAACAATAACATAACAATAACTTCAGCAACAACTATAACAATAGCACTAACTATAACAATAACTTTAATAATAACTTCAATAATAACCATAACAATAGCACTATAATAAACTATAAACTAAAATAACCATAAAGATAGCTATAACAATTACTTACTATAACAACAATGATAACTATAATAATAACTAACAATAACTTTTGCAATAAATTTAACAATAACTATGATGATAACTAACAATAACTTTTGCGATAAATATAACAATAACTTCAGCGATAACTATAAAGCTAACAATAACTATAACTTTAGCGATAACAATAACAACTATAACTATAATGATAACTAAATAACACCCATTCACTGCCATTATAAAGCTTGGAAGAGCCAGGACATTTTAAACATAACTCCGATTGGATTCGTCTGAAAGAAGAAAGTCATATACACCTAGGATGGCTTGAGGGTGAGTAAATCACGGGAAAATTATCCATATTTAAAACTTTATAAACTGTAATCTCTAGCTTCTGCTAACTGTTGTACACGAAGACGTTTGTTTACAGGAGCAAAGGAAGCAAAGTTTCCTTACTTTAGCAAAGGAAAACCAGTCTCCTCTCGGCTTATATCCAAATCCTCCCACATCTTTCTTTATAAATCTTTGTTTTGTACTTCTAATTCGTGTCCGGTGTTTTGTTTTGCTCTCTCACTTCTCACCGGAGCTTATGCTACGGACCTTACCCTTTAATATAACTCCGATTGGATTCGTCTGAAAGAAGAAAGTCATACACACCTAGGATGCCTTGAGGGTGAATAAATCATGAAGTAATTTTCATTTTTGGGTGAACTAACCCTTTAACATAGACAAGACCGGCCAAATTACAACTGAACACACAGGAACTTAAACAAGGATAATGAACTCCACACACCTGAACAGAATGACACAATTAAACACACCGAAGGGAAATGGTAGCATGAAGCTGCTTTAGCTGGTGTGGAGGAAATTTGATTATTATCTGAAATTGTGATATTATTTGCTTTGCTTTCTTTACTCTACTACAGAATGCTTCATCATCGATAAGCTTGAGTTTTTGATGAGCTGAGAGATAACAGGACATCTGTTTAATGTGTGTGTGCAAGAAGTGTGAGACAGGAAATGTTGTTTTAGACATGCTAGCTTTTTAAGCATCTTAGAAAATGATTTGCATTAAATACTTAGAAACACATGGTTGGACAGCTTAAATGGACATATGTTGAATATGCATCATGATTGGATGAGATACAATGGCAGATATATGGCACTTTATCTCAATTTTGACCTTTTAAGTAGTTATTCTAACAACAACAACAACAAAAACCTACTTTTTATGTCATAGTTATGATTTTATGATTTACCCAATATTTTGATAAGAAATGGGCTTCCATTAATACAGTCTTAGATTTTGAATAATTTTAAAATCAAGACTTTTTGTGTTGTAACACATCTCTAGTTAGATTTTCATAATAAATGGTGTTTTTATTTCACAAAAAAATAACTAAAACTGAAATCAAAATGAAAAATTATTTAGACATACTACGAAAAAAAACAAATAATAAAAATGACAAACACAACGAAATTACTAAAACCTTCAAATGTAACTGTAAATAAATGTAAAATACAAACAAATTGAAAATATTAATAATAATTCAAACATTTTGTTAACTATTTTGTATTAATGAACAAAATACTAAATAATACTGCAAATTATGCACTTAACTTTTGCAGCTTTTCTTACATAGTGGAAGGGAACTCTTTTAAAATTCATAGTAGATACTATAAGTGTATAGTACTGCAGGTATAGGATGCAACTCATGGGAGCCTCATTGTGTTTTTATTGGTTAAAAAAAAAATCTCAAAAAGTAGCAGAATTAAAAAGAAAAAGTGGCATTGACATCTAAAAATGAATATGCAAAACCAGATAAATACTGCCTAGTATCGTTTGATGCACGTAATATTCCACAGTCGCTTTCACTGGGAATCCCACACTTCAGCTTCACATCACTCACCCGTTTGGCATCGCTGTGCTTCTCAAAGCTGGCGAAACCGAAGCCTCTCGAGTGTCCCTTCTCATCCGTCATGACCCGAACGCTCAGGGTCGGGCCTCACATACAAAGCACAGATGCGATAAAACAAGAGAAAACGGTTTCATTCCAACCACATCCTCAAAATAAACACTCACCGAATTGATTGAAAATCTCCGCCAGCATCTCGTCATCCACATCCGTCCCAAAGTTCTTGATGTAGATGTTTGTGAACTCTTTGTTTCTCGCCTGCATTTCAGCCTCGCGCTCTTTTTGAGACTTGAAGTGTCCCACGAACCTTGAAGTGCAAGATATGAAACTTACAAGCACTATTAAAGATGTAGATGAGTTTGTTTCTTCATGGGAACAGATTTTTGCTCTGCAGTGAATGGGTGCCGTCAGAACGTCCAGAGTCCATAATCCATAATAACGCTTCCTCCAGTGAAAAAGTGCATCTGCTGTTGTCTCTCACATCAAAATCCAGCCACATATTAGTTTAGAGCTGTTTAAACGCTGCTTGATCTGTGCAGATTTCTCTCCTGATTCAGACCAGAACACTTTTTCACTGGAGGAAGCGTTATTATGAACTCAATGTATTTTAGTTAAAAATGTCTTAATGCTGGATTAGTTTCAGCTTTTGTCTTCTCCAGATGTTAACTGATGGACTGGAGTGCTGTGGATTACTTGTGATGCTTTTATCAGCTCTCGTTCTGACGGCACCCATTCACTGCAGAGACACTGATGCAATGCTACATTTCTCCAAACCTGATGCAGAAGCAATCTCGGATGGGTGAACTATTTAAGTTTGAGTAAAGAGTGTTTAGTCCTCACTTACACTTTCTGCTCATTGATCAACATGCTGTTCAGTTTCTCGATGGCTTCTCCAGCAGCTTCATGCGTCTCAAAGTGCACAAACCCAAAGCCTTTCGACCCGTTTTCATCGCAAACCACCTTGACGGAAAGAAACGCACTTCAGCCTCTGCTGCACTCGATACAGATCTGGTGTTTCTATAATAGAGCAGAATGAGGAGATCGTCGCTTACTTTACAGGATAAGATGGTCCCGAAGGAGGAGAAGATGTCGTACAGGCCCTCGCTGTCGATGGATTTCTCCAGGTTCTTGATGAAGATGTTTCCCACGCCGCTCTTCCTCAGCGAAGGGTCTCTCTGCGACCACATCAGACGCATGGGCTTCCCCTGCATGAGGTCAAAGTTCATGGTGTCCAAGGCTCGCTCGGCTGGGACGAACCAACACAAGAGTGTTCAGGTGTCATGATGAACTTCTAATGACTAAATCAATCATGTTAAGTGCAGATGCTTGTTTTTAATGATGATATTTGTTGTTTATTGATTCCTCGCAGATCGAGTTTAAATCAGCATCAAGTTCCCGATTACATGATTATACAGAAACTGACTTTCACTGGAGCAATATACAACTCTTTTTGGCCCAAGTTTGATATTCAGTTATTGTCTCTCAGAACACATTCAGAGTTGTTTTGAACCTGAAGAGAAACAGGAACAAACTTTGTAAACGCTTTAAAAGCCTCAAAATACACATCATTTATTTTCCTCAGATTTTTTACAATTCTTTTTGAGATATAAGCATTTAAAAAAAAAAAAAAAAATTCGGGTTTAATTTTTTTTTGGTCGTTTTGACCTATAGGTATGCTAAAAATACTTTTGTAAAATTATCTATAAAATTATATTCCAGTCAAAAAACTATTGTAAAATATATTCAGACTCATATCTCACACACATTAGCGACTGAATTTTGTTAATGAACATAACAAACAAACAAAACTGATCATTGAAGTTTCTGCAAGTAAAATGAATTTATTTTGTTTGAAAACTTTTCAGAGTAATATTAATATTGTTTTGATGGATTCATAAATTTGGACTGTTTTCGAGCAGTCGTGAGTTATAAAATCATAGGAATTGAATTAAATTAAATTTATTCCAATTCTCAGATTATATGTTCCTATAAAATGACATGCAATGATATATTCAAATAAGATTTCACACCAAAAAAAAAAAAAAAAAAAGTGTAATTGATATTTTAAGGAATTCATTTTTTTAACTAAAACGGGGTTAATGCAGTAAAAACATGGTAATAACACAGTGACATTTAAAAATTCGAATTTTGTGACATTCTCTCATTAATGAGAAGTTGCTCAGATACAATATAACAAGGTGATATATTGTATCGTATCTGTATACTAAAGTTGATACAATATGGCTTTAGTTGAAAAATATGAAAACATAGATTCCTCGGCTCCAAACGGACTCGGAATGCGAAAATCATATATTTAGAAAATCAGATTTTGAATGCATTATTATGAGGGATAATAAAAAAAATGTGTAATTGAAATTTCAAGGAATTTCTCAGTTTTTTTTATTAACTAAAAGGGGTTAATGCAGTAAAAACATGGTAATATAATAACATGGCGACATTTATTGACATTCACTAATTAATAAGAAGTTGCTGATCACATACAGTAGGGTTTTAGTTGAAAAATAACGGACTCGGAATGCGAAAATCATATACAGGTTTTGAATGCATAAAAATAAAACAAATAAATGATGTTTTGACAGCGGTCAGTTGATTATTATTGATTATGCTCTTACCGTCGGCGGCTCGCTCGAAGTTAACGTACGCGTATCCGAGCGAGCGGCAGCTGAGTCGGTCTCTGCAGACTCGGATCGACTGAACCGAACCGAGCGACCGGAAGCGCTCGAACAGCATGGCTTCAGTCACGTCCGCCTCCAGATCGCCCACATACAGCGAGCTGCTCACACTCATCTTCATCTTCATCACAGACAGCCAGATATCGATGCAGGACTCCGAGCGTCCGAGATTCAGTCTGAAACACGCTTGTAACGATCAACGAATCGGATTCAAAAGATTCAATCAGATCGTAAATAAACATTCCGGTTATGATCGTCATCGTCGTGTTTTATTCTGCACGCTAGAGTTTAAATGACAAATCACATCAAATCACTCACACTGCATACATGACGGATTTAATGATTATATTGTTACAATGTACTAATAAAAATAATGTGTGATCCTTTAAGAAACTTTTATTGTGTTTAACTTTTGTTGCGAGTTGATAAAAAAAAAAAAGGTCTAATTTTGTGTTCCACTGAATAATAATAAATGTCAAAAGTTTAATTTTAAGTGATCTATTTAAGGATTCATTTTTATTGTTTGAAAGATTTTATAAGCCTTTATATATACACACACTTTATTTTTTGTAAATCCTTGTTTTACCTTTAAGGCAATTTTTTACATTTATATTTACACTACCGGTCAAAAGTTTGGGATCAGTAAGACTTGTAATGTTTTTAAAGAAGTCTCTTCTGTTCATCAAGGCTGCATTTATTTGATCAAAAATACAGTAAAAACAGTAAAATTGTGAAATAATATTACAATTTCAGAAATCATTCTAATATGCTGATTTATTATCAGAGCTGGAAACTGTTGCTGCTTCATATTGTTTTGGAAGCTGTGATACTTTTTTCAGGATTCTTTGATGAATAAAAAGTTAAAAAGAAGAGCATTTATTTAAAATAGAAAGAGAAATCTTTTCTAACAATATACACTAACGTTCAAAAAGTTTGGGGTCAGTAAATTTATATTCTTTCTTTTTTTTGAAAGAAATTAAAACTTTTATTCAGCA